AAACGCCTGTTCATAAAGCCAGGTCTTAACCTTTTTCCGAAACGCCAGCAACGAAGGTGCCTGTCTGATGTCTGCCGGCAAGGCATTCCATAGCCGAGGGGCCACCACTGAGAAGGCCCTGTCTCTCGTCCCCGCCAAGCGCGCCTGTGACGCAGGCGGGACCGAGAGCAGGGCCTCCCCAGACGATCTTAATGTCCTAGTCGATTCTTAAGGGGAGATGCGTTCAGACAGGTAAGTTGGGCCAGAACCATTTAGGGCTTTATAGGCTAAAGCCAGCACTTTGAATTGTGCCCAGTAGCAGACTGGCAGCCAGTGGAGCTGGCGCAACAGAGGAGTTGTATGCTCCCTGTGTGCCTCTCCTGTTAGCAACATGGCTGCCGCTCGCTGGACCATCTGGAGCTTCCGGACAGTCTTCAAAGGCAACCCCACGTAGAGAGCGTTGCAGTAGTCTATAAGGGATGTAACCAGAGCATGGACTATCGTGGCCAGATCAGACTTCCCAAGGTACGGGCGCAACTGGTGCACAAGTTTTAATTGTGCAAAAGCTCTCCCCGGCCACCGCTGAGACCTGGGGTTCCAGGCTCAGCGATGAGTCCAGGATCACACCCAAGCTGCGAACCTGCGTCTTCAGGGGGAGTGTAACCCCGTCCAACACAGGCTGTAACCCTATACCCTGTTCGGCCTTTCGACTGACCAGGAGTGCCTCTGTCTTATCTGGATTCAGTTTCAATTTGTTCACCCTCATCCAGTCCGATACAGCGGCCAAGCAACGGTTCAGGACCTGAACAGCCTCCTTAGTAGTAGGTGGGAAGGAGTGACAGAGTTGGACGTCATCTGCGTACAGATAACACCGCACCCCGAAACTCCGGATGATCTCCCAACGGCTTCATGTAGATGTTAAATAACATGGGGGACAATATTGAGCCCTGCGGGACCCCACAAGACAATGGTTGTGAGGTAGAGCAGTTGTCCCCCAGCAACACCTTCTGAGTACGATCCTCTAGGAAGGATCTGAGCCACTGCAGAGCAGTGCCACCAAGGCCCATTCCCGCGAGGCGTCTCAGAAGGATACCGTGGTCGACGGTATCGAAGGCCGCTGAGAGGTCCAGCAGAACTAACAGGGACACACTCCCCCTGTCTAGCTCCCTGCGCAGATCATCCACTAAGGCGACCAAGGCTGTCTCGGTACCATGTCCCGGCCTGAAGCCAGACTGTGCCGGATCTAGATAATCAGTGTCTACCAAGAATACCTGGAGTTGTGAGGCCACCACACGTTCCAAGACTTTGCTCAAAAAGGGAAGATTGGAAACAGGCCGATAGTTGACGAATTGAGTGGGATCCAGTGATGGTTTTTTCAACAGCGGTTTTATCACAGCTTGTTTTAAGCTGGCTGGAATTTTGCCTTCCCAAAGGGAGGCATTAACCACCACCTTCACCCACTCGGCCAATCCCCCTCTGGCCTCCTTTAGAAGCCAGGATGGGCAGGGGTCTAGGATGCATGTGGTTGCCCTCATTCCTCCAAGTATCTTGTCCACATCCTCAGGTTTCACCAATTGAAATGAATCCAATGAAATCGGATAAGCAGATGCTCGTGTTACATCCTCTGAGACTGCCGTTAACATGGTGTCCAGGTCAGAACGGATCAAAGCGACTTTGTCCGCAAAGAACCGAGCAAATGCTTCACAGCGGGCCGTCGAGTTGTCAGGGTTCCCATCCGGAGCGGTGGGATTTAATAGACCTCTGACAACTCGAAACAGCTCAGCCGGACGGTTCTTTGCGGACGCAATATTGGCAGCAAAGAAGGATTTCTTTGCTGCCTTTATTGCCACGGCATATGACCTGAGAAAGGCAATATACCGTGTTCGGTTTAACTCGCTCGGGTCCGAACGCCACACGCGCTCTAGTCTCCTCTTATTTCGCTTCATCGCTGCCAGTTCCTCGTTGAACCAAGGCGCTGGTTTAGCTCGGCTACTTGAGAGGGGACGTTCTGGAGCAATCGTGTTTATTGCCCTGGTCATTCCCCCGTTCCAGAGGGATACCAGGGCATCAACAGAATCACCAACCGAGGTGGCGGGGAAATCCCCAAGAGCCATCAGGAATCCATTCGGATCCATTAGCCTCCTGGGGCGGACCAACTTAATGGGTCCCCCACCTCTGCAGAGGTTGGGAGGTGCAGTGAGTCTAAAGCTGACCAGATAGTGGTCGGTCCATGGCAACGGAGAGATGGACAACTCCTCAACACCGCCACCTTGCTCCCATCCCTGGCAGAAAACCAGATCCAATGTGTGTCCAGCACTGTGTGTGGGGCCAGATACTCGTTGGGACAGCCCCATGGTTGCCATGGAAGACATGAAGTCCTGAGCCGCTCCTCCTAGGGTAGTCTCGGCGTGTACATTGAAGTCCCCCAGCACAAGGAGCCGTTGGGACTCCAATGCCAGGCTCGAGACCACCCCTGCTAGCTCAGGTAGGGAGACCGTAGTGCAGCGGTGGGCGGTACACTAGCAGAATCCCTATTCTGTCCCGGTCACCCACCCTCAGGTGGACACATTCGAAATTAGTTGACTGCGGGATGGGGCTTCTGGTCAGAGGGATGGAATTTTTATAGACTACTGCAACTCCGCCTCCCCGCCCCCCAGGTCTCGATTGGTACTGTACGGAGAACCCTGGAGGACAAAGCTGGGTCAAATTTACTCCTCCAGCTTCGTCCAACCAGGTCTCCGTAATGCACGCCAGATCTGCCCGTTCTTCCAGAATTAGATCTTGTATGAAGGATGTTTTGCCGTTGACAGATCTGGCGTTCAGCAGCACCATCTTCAACCCAGAGGGGCCGCCATCCTGGGTACCCCGGCTTACCTTGTCAGGAGACCGATTACAAATGGTTAAATTTCTTCCTCTTTCCCTAGGCCGAATTTGGGTTATTAGATTTTCACTATTCCTAGGCCGAATTGGCGGTCTCCCTTTCCCGCATCTCCCCCTCCCCGTTATGGTTTCTATGGGGGCCCCCCGGCTAGTGGAGTACCTCTCTTCTTCCATATTGCACTTCGAGTTCATAACTTCATCCCATGTTTTGATCCAGATTGTTTGCTGCGTTAGTTCCCCTTTTTGCCATGTTACTTCATTCCAGTCTTTCTCCTCCCCCCCGCTCCACCTACCATTCCCTTCCCAGCCCACCAGTAATGCTGTTAGTAGGTACAAAGGAATGAAAGGCGACATAAGTGAGCAGCGTTGGTACAGGGTTGGTATAGGTCCCTGGATTACAAAGAGGTAGTAGGTGTTAAAGTGCTAGTTGTTAAAAGTGCTAGTTGTTAAAGTCTAAGATTGCTAAAGTGCACTATGCTATCACGTTAGCTAGCGTTAGCTACAATGCTGTAATGGGCTTGATAGTATTAAGTGCTCGAGTTTAAAGTGCTTGATGATTAAAGTGCTGGCCACGGAGAATTAGCAGCGTTTGGTCAAGACGGTCCTATTAACAGTGCAATGGCAGTAATTATTCAGTCAGTTATCAGTCTTGTTGGTCAGACTTAGTACTCATTTGGCCCCCCTCCCCCCTAATACATCGGTCCTAGGGGTGGGAGCAGATCTTAAGGAACAGTAGAATGTAAAATAAGGATTGACACAATGCCCAAAATCTGATATTAAGTTGTTCACGTTTCTTCCGGAATTGGAGGCAGTAACACAATATATGATAGTTCAAAGATGGTGACTGAAGGCAATTCTGTAACAGCAGTTATGTTACCAGTTCAGTCCACCGGGAGAGGTACCAGTAGCACTAAGGTGACGGTGCTCTCTAATGACCAGTCGCAGCTGGAAGGGAGGTGGTTGGGCTCTGTAGGCTCTCTCTGGCAGCAGGGACGCCGCTCCTGGGGCCTCCTCTAGTTGTAAGTGCGAAGGTGGCGTTTCTGGGAGGCGTGGAGATGACGTCACCCAGGATGCGCTGAAGAGCCCAGTCGTGTCACTTCCAGGGCCTCCGCTTCAGGTATGGAAACGCGGAGGTGGCGCCCTCTTAGGGCACGGAGGAGTTGTTGCACCAGCGAGCGTGTAGCCCAGCCGGGTCGCCCCCGGAGCCCCCACCAAGAGTGGAAGAAAGGAAAATGGAGGCGCCGGCACAGAAGCAGCTCCCCGCCGGAACGCGGCAGGATCGTGACTCGGCCACACGGAAGGATCCCACGCGGCCACCGCAGTGCTGTCGGGGGGCACGCCGGGCCGAAGAGAAAGCCGAAGATGATGGTCCGGCGGTTCGTAGGCCTTAACAGGCCGGTCGTTCACAGACCGCCTCCACCGCGTAGTCCAGTGGGCAGATGAAGCCTCCGCCTCCGCGACTCGCCCCGGCGCCGGCACACCTCGTGGCCAGCCTCAGGAACGCCCAGGCCAAGCTCAGAGGAGGGGGCCCAAGAGTTTACACTCACCCACCGAGCGCCTTCGGGGGCCGCAACAGCCAGTCTGCAGTTGGTGGTTGGGTAAGTCCTGTAATCTGGATGTCGCGAAGCTATTAGAAGGGAGCGTTCTTAGGCCGAGTTGGTGGTGATGGTGGTGGCCTTCGCTCTACCTCCTTCCTCTCCCTCTTTTTCCCTTTCCCTTTCCTCCCTGGTCTCCTGTCCAATCGACTCCTCAAGGCCCCCTTCGGGGTCCTGAGGTGTCGCTGAACAAGGAGTCGGTGGAAGGGGGTCAGAATGAGGGTGGATGGCTTCGATTTGCCTTGGATTCAGGTTCTCATCCCACCCGAGTGGAAAGGTTGCTGCTAGCATGTCGCCATCTTAACCGGAAACCCTGTTCTAAAGGAGGAGGAAATGGAACCAAGCGAGAGACCAGAAAGATAAATGCATATGATTTTGTCTACATTACACAGTCAGAAAAAGTGTAAATTTTATGCATAAATGTATTACTTCACTTTACACTGTTGATGTGTTGAGATACTGAATTTGAAACTGGAGGAGAATTCTAAAAAAATCTTGCCAAATATTATGTTTTAATTCCACTGGCTAGGTGTAAAGCTAGCTTACCTTTCTTGTTCTTGTTCCAGTAAATTAGTAAACTCGTCACTTTTCTCCATATATTCTGCATGTTTCCTTTTCTCATCTTCTAGTTCATAAAGAGTTTGCCTATGAGATTTTTCTACCATTAAGAGTTGCTCCAGCATCCGTCTATGAGTTTCTTTATGTTTTTCCATCACTTTGTCAAGCTAAAACAAAAAACAAAACCAAGATTATTATCTTAATTTTTCCTCATTTCTGTATTTTTTTAAAAAATCATTCTGACTCAAAATCTGCTTTAGTACAAGCTATGGGAAAATGAACTACTACACATTTCAGAGATGTATATCCTTATACTGAAGTTTTTATTCCTAATATAACTTTACTTAAAATTATTGCTTAATCCTTCTCTTTCACTGGTGAGAAATTCAAATCAAATTTCAATTACTGTTGAGTAACAACATGAACAGTTTTTCAGTTACAGTTCATAGATTTTCTGTCTTTACAGTTTTGGCTATTGGCAATAACACAAAACAGGTGGCTGATGTAAGGAATTATCTGCTTTGAGTAGAAACTAGAAAACAGACACCATAACTTCTGGTTTAGTTCTTAACAGGTGTTTATTATGTAATTATAACCATATTTTAAATGGGTACATTGATCCTAATATTTATACCAATCTTTGGCCTAAATACTGTCATATAGCTCCTAATCCCGATTGAAATAAGCCTGTTGAATGGAATGAGATTTATTCATCACTATTTGCTTAAATTGTGTTGATTTCAACTTAACTAATCCTAATTATAACGTAACATTGGTCAGTAGTACAGCACCATCCTTTAGGATTAAGCTATCATGCTCATCAGTTTTTCTTATGAGGGAAATACAGGCATTCCCTGAGTTACACTGACACAGTTCCCAGCTGGGAGGACCTGGGCCCAAGTTGGAGCACTATCATCTCCCAGCCAGGTTTCAGTGAAGCATGCCATATCGGCTCTCTCATCCTTGGGGAGATCATAGTTGATATGAGTCTTATTTTTCACTGACCTGCCATTACTTAAGAGCAAACTGAGGTTTTGTGGGTGGTCTGGCTCACTCTCCAAGTTCCTCAGGCTGGCAGGGTGACTAGAAGGTACCCCTCTATTCTGTTTTGGTTAGACCACACCTGGAATATTGTGTCCAATTCTGGGCACCACAATTCAAGAGAGATATTGACAAGCTGGAATGTGTCCAGAGGAGGGCGACTAAAATGATCAAGGGTCTGGAGAACAAGCCCTAGGAGGAGCGGCTTAGGGAACTGGGCATGTTTAGCCTGAAGAAGAGAAGGCTGAGAGGAGATATGATAGCCATGTATAAATATGTGAGAGGAAGCCACAGGGAGGAGGGAGCAAGCTTGTTTTCTGCTTCCCTGGAGACTAGGACGCGAAACAATGGCTTCAAAATACAAGAAAGGAGATTCCATCTGAACATGAGGAAGAACTTCCTGACTGTGAGAGCCGTTCAGCAGTGGAACTCTCTGCCCCGGAGTGTGGTGGAGGCTCCTTCTTTGGAAGCTTTTAAACAGAGGCTGGATGGCCATCTGTCGGGGTGATTTGAATGCAATATTCCTGCTTCTTGGCAGGGGGTTGGACTGGATGGCCCATGAGGTCTCTTCCAACTCTTTGATTCTATGATTCTAAGGTGAGCTAGGATTTCAACACCTTTCTCTCCTTCCTCTGAGGATGCATGACCCTGCCATCACCATATATGCCCTATATGATTTGTATTGCTGCCCCAGGTTCTATATACATTGAATTAAAAGCAAATAATAAAGGGTAAAAGAGACATCCAAAAATGTCAGTAAAACAAAGGACAAATGGGGCATTAATGCAACAACACTTAACACGTAATTATAAAAGAGTTGTGCTCAGTGTGCTGCTATAGCTGGCCCCAGGCAGAAGTTCTAATGTAGAGCTCTCACCCGCTGGCAGCCTTTGCCGCTGAGCAAAGCAGGCCCTAGGTCTAGTGGTTGCTTTTTAGCTGCTGTTGGCTTCAGGTGAAATTACTGAGCTGTGGGAGCCATGCCCAGTATGTTTGGTGAGGCTGGTCCCAGGCAGAAGTTCCAATGTAGAGCTCTCACCCTCTGACTGCCTCTGCCACTCACAGAACAGGCTCTGGGTCCAGTGGGCACTCAGAATCTTATCTTCTACTATTCTTGGTCATCCAATATGCAGAGACCTAATTTTTAAGTATTTATCTTATCAACAATACGTGATATTTGTAAAGAGTATTAGTATCATCTGAATTATTTCTCATGCTTGTGATTGTCCAATCCTGGTGATTTACTCCAATGTTCTGCTTTATTTGAAAATGTCCTCCCCCGTTTTGGCTTGGAGCTTAATTGACGGAGTGCTCTTTGTCTAGCCATGATGCATGTTAACTTTTTTGTTTGTTCTATGAAGGAAAGGGGCCGAGTTCCATATAATTATGAGTTTCTGCTTCTCTATGAAGTGATAAAAGTTCTTTGCTGCTGCTGTAGTTATACTAATGAGTTGAATAAGTGCCTAATGAAGGGAAACATAAAATGGAACAGATTTCCCTCATTCTTTATTGTTTTGACAAGAGCTGGACCAAGATAGTCTAGACTTCATGGGATTTTAAGTGGGTTTGTCTCCATGGGGTTATATTTTCTGATCTACAATTTAGCTGCACATTTGTTTTTTTTTTAATATATGAAACAAACTTTGGATAAATTTGTCTGACATTAGTCATAAAGTAAAGAGGCTGGATTTTTTAAAAAGTTCATAACAAAGTTCCTGATTTCTTAAAATTTGTGTTGATACTTTTTCACATCTGCAGAGATACATGTAGAGAGAATATGAAAGTGTGGAGAACTATCATCACTACAAAATGTACAAAGGTTATAAAATTTACAGTTGCACATGAACTTTACCCATTTCTAGGACCAAGATCCACACCAAACCTATCTCAATCATTCCTGCATTCCATGAACAATTGATCTTTTTTGTATATATAAATAATCTTTATTGAATTTTACAAAGTGAGGTTATAAAATCAAGGATTTCAAAAAAGAAAGAGGGAGAGAGAAAAGTAAAGAAAAAGGAGAAAATGAGAAATAAATAAATGAATGAATAAATAAAAAAAGGGGTGTATTTGAATTTCCACTCTTCTCTATAATGGTATTCTAGAGGAGAAAATAAGAGTTCGCCAAAATGGAAAGCTTTTAGTGTCCTTTCTTCTTCTTTTTCATATTATTCATTGTCGGTAATTCTCGGATTCCCCCCCCCCCCCGCTCTTATTAGCATCTTGATATTGTTTTCTTTTATCCATTCTTTAAAGGGGTCCAATTGGTTACTTTAATATGTGTGTGCCGTGATCTTGCTAGTATATATGTCAGGTGGTCCATATTCATAATGTCTAGTATCTTTTCCATCCACTCTTCCTTTGTTGGTATTGCGTTTTGTCTCCAGACTCTCGCTAGTAAGTAACAGGAAGCATGTCAAAAATACTGAAAAGAGTAATCCCCTTAAAACCCAAATGCTATCTCCTAGGACTAACCAACATTGAGTGGGATAAGAACACAGACAAACTATTTGTTTACTTAATAACAGCAGCCCAGATCTTACTAGCGAGAGTTATGAAAAATTGATCTTGAACAGGACTGTCAACAATACGTCAGCTTGGGTCAAATTTTAATCACTCAAATATATAGCTTGCAAATGGTATTGTTTAAAGTACCACAAACTCCTAACAGTTAGCTGAAACTAGAGTATGCCCATTATTTTAATGTTTCATTTTGGTTTCAAAATCATTACAGCTATAAATGTAATGTGGTAATCAGCAAGCTTTCTTTACAAAATAATGTAAAGAAGGCTCATTTGAAGGCTTTTAAACAGAGGCTGAATGACCATGTGTCGAGGATGCTTTGAATGCAATTTTCCTGCTTCTTGGCAGGGAGTTGGACTGGATGGCCCACGAGGTCTCTTCCAACTCAGCGATGCTATGATTTGTTCTTAATACTTGATCAGAATAAATGGGAAAAACTTTATAAGGATGTAACTTTTCCTATCGTGAAGGTGTGATTTGAAACTCACAAAAGCCTTTTGCATCTTCGGCAATCATGAAATAATGAGAAAACCACAGCCTCATTCAGAGTTACTCTTTCACCATGATGTTGATGAACCTTGTTTTGAATTTTGCTTCTTGGTTTGCTGCAATTCATCACTGCCTGAATTTAATTAAAACATTGAGTTAATTGGGTTGTTGTAAGTTTTTGGGCTGTATAGCCATGTTCTAGAAGCATTCTCTCCTGATGTTTCACCTGCATCTATGGCAGGCATCCTCAGAGGTTGGAAACTAGGAAAATGGGAATTATATATGTGGAATATCCAGGGTGGAAGAAAGAACTCGTGTCTGTTGGAGGTAGGTGTGAATGTTTCAATTGGCTGCCTTGATTAGCATGTAATGGCCTAGACATTTCAAGGTGTGTTAATTGTTTCTAATTTGGGGAGCTGTCCCTACCAGGATTAGAACAAGCCAGGACCTTGACCTGATGTAGGCTCTGGTTTAAGACTTCGGCATTGCTTGCTTGTTTATTTGTATGTTTGTTTTACACTTTACTCCTGACATAGGACCCAATCATAGTTGTATGGGGGAAAGGCTCATGTTTGTATTGACTTTATAATGAAATATATACTTCTGACCTATAGCAATATTTATGAGTTGTAGAAAGGTGAGATTTCTCCCCTCCTTTCATATAAATGTTTTCTTTAGAAGTAATATTTGCCCGTGTTAACAGTTTTTGGCTGTAGTTTCCAGTCAAGTATACAGTTGATTATAAAACTGGATATCCTATGACATAATATGTGAAATTTAGTTACTGGGAGACACCACCAATTTATATAAAGGCATTTCTGAATTACCGTATATTCCGGCATATAAGACGACTGGACGTATAAGATGGCCCCCAACGTTTCCAGTTAAAATATAGAGTTTGGGATATATTCACCGTATAAGACTGCCCCTCTTCCAACGCAAACCAAATAAAATTTTTAAAAGCATCAGATTTGATTTCAATATGGTAATTTTCCTATTACTGTACCTCCTTCTCTGCCTCTTAGATCTCGCACCTGCGCACCTGCACCGCTTTACTGCAGTCTTCAGGAGCGAGATCTGAGAGGCAGAGGAGGAGGTATGGTAAGTGGATACA